CACTTCCAAGAGCTCTCGGTGGCATACCAACTTTCTAGCAGCAAACATTATGGTCACTGTCCTTCTCCGAGTTTGCTCCCCTTCTCAAGATACCATCAAAGCCCCAAATGGGTTGTTTCCCATGTATTTGCAGGGCCACCTTTCCAGGCATGTTTCAACCCATCCTTTGAGAAGGGATGCTGAATGTTCCACATGAAGTTAAGAAGTTTGGGGCTTGATGATGGTCCTCTACGGCTGCCCCTTGCTTTCTGAAGTATAAGGGCCCTAACTTCCTGGTCTTCAAGAATGTACTTAAGCTCCGTTTATTTCATAGGGCAGTGGTGGCGAACCTATGGCATGGGTGCCAGAGGCGGCACTTGGAGCCCTCTCTGTGGGCATGCACCCTGTTGCCCCAGCCCTGCCTCCCCCCATGGCCCCCTCCTCACCAGCAGCATCCCTGGAGGAGAGTCGCCCCCGGGCAACAGGGACAAGATTCCGCCCTCGCACCCCATAGCGTGCAGATGCTGCTGCGGAGTGTGGGCAGAGGGCATGGTTGCCATGGTGCTGCAGGGCTGCCTGGCAATTTGCTGCAGCAGGCCATGGAGGCGGTGCGTGGCCCTGCAGGCAGGTGGGGCAGGGGGTGGGTGGGGGCAGAGCAGGCAGGGCGGGAGGCGGAGGGGCGGTGGGTGTTTTTTGGGCACCCAATCTCTAAAAGGTTCGCCATCACTATCATAGGGCATTTGTGCTTTTATGAACTGGCCTCATAATTATTTATTTCTTAAATGTTCATTTTGGTTTTATATTTTATTATGTTCTTATAATCCACCTTGAGTCATGTGAAATGGGCAGTACACAAATGTAAGTAAATAAATACACATCAATAGTAATGGAAAGAAATAAAACCACTGAGAGCTTGTGACAAGGAATGTCTTCTGGGAGGAATATACAGTTTAAATGTTGTCTTCAAAGAAGTGCCAATATATGATGCATTATTTTTGAAAATTAAAGAACGCTAAAGAAAAAAAAAATTAAGATATCTTGAAATGTTGGGTGAGTGCTTTACAAATGAAGACAATAAATTTACTATGGAAAATATTTTGAAAATGTATTAATACTTTCAGTTTCTCCTTTTATTTATTAATTTGGCATTTTTTATATCCCACCACAATCTGAAGACTCTGGACAGCATACATCAGACTGAACCTATAAAGCAGCATGAAACATTCAGTAGATTTATTAACCCACCCCAAAATGGATGATGACATTAAACAATCAGAGTTAAAAATGCCACCATATCCCTAAGAATACATTTTAGCTCGTTCTTGGTAAAACCTAGACAAGATGCAAGACTAAGCAAGTTTCTATACTTGTAATATTTGTGCAGAAAAGAGAGTCTATGTCTCCTTTGGCTATCATAATGCAGTGTCCATCTGTTGTTTACTGTGGTGTGGTAATTAATTCTTTATTGGTACAGGTGTGATTTATAAATACTAGACAAAAACTGTGCTGCAAAATCAAATTGTAACTGACACTGTCATTTTACGCTTGATTTGATGCTCACCTTTTCCCCAAGCTTTCTTTGTAGTTTCCTCCTTGCTTCTTGTAGTGAAATGATTCCATCTTGTCATTTTTCATCTCTCTGGAATGTTTTGGAACCATTAGAATCCCACAACTCTTTCCTGTAAGATATAACATTCACTGATGGGGGTGGGGGAAGGGCTCCAGGCAATCCAGATGAAGCTCTCTCTGGATTGTTCCAGAGGCAATCCCACGAGTTTAGCTTTGTGGAGTGAATCCTTTTAAATCTCTCTCTTTGTTTCCTGCCTCTGCCAGGAACAGAAGTGCTAAACAAAGTAACTTGCTTGTATGGTACATTAGGGACAAAGCACTTAATAGCACTGTGGCTTAATCGTGAATCAGCTCAAAGGCCACCAGTTAGTCTTCTGGTGCAACTGAACTTACAGCTATTGATCCTCTGCAGGAAAAGTTGCATACCTTAACTTAAAAAAGAAAGAAAGAAAGAAAGA